CAGGATTGACTTACAATCGTCTTTGACAGGCTGTAATCGTTGCATTTTTTGGCAATATTACTTCATTAGTTTGATCGAAGATATGAAGACAAGATCGTGAGCATACAAAAGACCATATCATCCTGGTCTTCATATCTTCGATAATCTAGTGGCTTGGCTGAATTCTCCACTTATCTATACATGTAGCTATCTGTTAATCTATCAAATATATGCAGACGTTAGTAACAGCATATACATTTTACTATTTCTTAATTAATATTTTTTTAAATTGAATGCATATCCCACAGCCTGTCTGGCATGCTGCTCGTGCATCCGGCGCGGCTCCCACCTACTTTCGTGCCTGTGGACGATTTCTGGACGGCGGCCTCATTTCCAATAACCCAACGTTAGACATTCTCACTGAGATCTATGAATTCAGCATCGCTCGGCAATTGAAAGTAGGCGATATGCTTGCAAATATGTTCTTTTCGCTATTATATTCAATAATGATAATTACTACTTGACTTGATCAAATATTAACTAGGTTGCCATATGAATTTATTAAAAGCACGCTATCGTTTGCTTATTCAGACTTATATTGACACTGGTCATTGAGCACAAAATGGATGATAAATGATAATCCCTAAGCCTGAAAGCTCTCTTAAAATTGATTCTAAAACCTAGTCACATTGTTCAAGTAATGAAACTTAATTTAAGCACGGCGTATTTGACGAACACTTTCACTTCAAAGATACACATATAAAGATTCAAAAACTCTTCGGTAAGTCAAAATATTTAAGGCACGGAATGTATTAACTCTATTTCGTCAGGATGATGAAGGATTGAAAAATGAATTTTCCTACAATAATATGAGTAGACTTTTCGCTTCCATTGAATTTCACATGGTCTTGCACTTCAAAATACATTTTTATCCAGGGTGGACTGCATTTTTCACTTCGTCTAGGTCTCATCAGGACTCGAATCGTGATAGTGCAGCATTTGATCTCGACGCGTTAACCAGCACGCCACACTGCCACTAATGCTTTTGGGTCACAGGGCCAATGTGAATTTTAAGGAAGGCTAGGCATTTTCCCATATCACATTCGTTGCTGGCATCGACGATAATTAAATCGAGTTTACCTTATAGACTTACTTGAAAAAAAAGCATGCTGAACGAATGCAATCAAATGCTTTAGCCTACGGGTCTTTTTGACTTAGGCCTCACTTTTTTGCTTTCTTTCTGACGTTCATTAAGCTGACAATTGTTGTGGCCTATTTTTTCAGGCTTGCGTATTTTGAATTATTAGGACCCATTTTTCTACCAAACCATCTATGAGGAGTGGAAAGGGTTGAATGAAA